CAACTTAACTGGGGTTGATGGAATAATGTAAAAAAACAAAATATTTGTGTGTATATCTAGTTATATATGTAGGTTGGGTTTAAACAATATAATATTGGTACCACTACTACAATTTCTACTCAGGAATGCATAGAAATACCCACCGGATGCATATAACACAGGAAAAACTGGCAGCCCACTGTATTGGACCATAATTTCAGTGTTTTTTTTTAGTGTGGGTTGTCATTTCTAGGTCTGGTGTGTTACCGCATGGCATTGTTATATATGTATGTCTAATTCAGGTCCAACACGAGGATGTGCAGGGACCTGATAGTCCACGGGGTGAACTGTAGGACACTCGAGATGTCCGAAGGCCACAACCGGCCCACCACGGACCCGTCCCCAGTGCTGATACGGTACTAGTTTTGATTTCTTATTGAGTTGCACTTCGAAACACGCTGGTGTTGAAGTTGATGAAATAATGTCAAAAACAAAATATTTGTGTGTATATTATTTTGGGGTGTGTGACAGCGTATGAAAAAGAAGTGCGCAAACCACAAAGGAGCAAAAGGTTATTTGTGCATACTGGTTCAATTTGTCCAGGGGGGCTGCCTAGATTTTAGTGTTATTTTGTTTTGTTAGTCATTACAGTATGCCAACTTAACAGGTGCACTAGTTTATATTTATGTGTACGAGTGGCTGTGAAAATTTGGTTTAATTGCAGGTGGATGCACGTCCTGGGATACTCCCTACCCGGGAAGGTCTCGGGACTGCACGCACGGAGCACAACGTCCCCACTCCAATTTCTACCGGGGTATGTATAACCAACTTCGGGACATTAGGTTTGAACGAGTGATGTGCTCAATTTCGGTTGACTTGTAGGGATTCCAACATGAATAGGTTCAAAATATTTGTGTGTCTAATATTTGGGTGTATGGCAGTTTATAAAAAACAAGTGCACAAACCACAAAGGAGAAAAAGTTTATTTGTGCATTGTAATACTGTTTCATTTTTTTACACTTTTAACTTCCTATTCAGTATGCACAGCTGTCACCGGTAACTACTAGCTGGAATGCACTGGGGGGTTTAATGCTTCAAACAGAATGCACCAGATGTGTATAGAAAATCATTGCATATGCATAAGCACTTCAGCTAATTTAATTCAGTTCGTAATACCGAAATTGGTGTTTTAGTGTACGTTATCTTTGTGCGAATGCAGCATTGGTGTTTTAGGATAAACAAAAATTATACGAGGGGGCTTTTCAAATTATCTAGGAGGCTGCCTAGATTTTAGTGTTATTTTATTTTATTAGTCATTAAGTATATGCATTTGTGATGGGTTGCTACTAGCTGGAATGCACTTGAGCATATCTGGGGTATTTATTCTTTCATAATAGAATGTGACAGATGTATATAGGAAAACATGATCTAAGTTTTTTTGTTAATCCTTGGCTGCCTGTTCAGGTTATTTACTTTATCCTTGTGCTAATTCAGCATTGTAGTTCATTTTTGTTTCTCGTCTTCGTAGGGGGATGCACAGCAAGTACCACAAGACAACCAGGTTCACCAACGCTCGCGCGCTGGGCATCGTGCACCCGGTCCTACCGCCATTACAGTATGCCAACTTAACAGATGCACTAGGTAATATTTATGTGTACAATTGTCTGTGATGAAATTGGTGTAATTGCAGGTGGATGCACTGGTTCGTGCATCGGCGGCACGGACTAGGAAACCCCCTGCCCGAGAAGGTCCCGGGGCTGCACGCACGGAGCACAACGTCCCCACTGCAACTTCGACCGAGGTATGTATGACCAACGGGTGATGTGCTAAATTTCTGATGACTTTATTATATTGTTCCTTTACTAACCAACCGTCTGCCTGTAGGGATTCCACCAAGAATTTGCAGCCATAACTAGAGACTTGCTCGCGATAGCCACACGGGTTGCGGAAACAATAAGGAAAAACCAAACACTAGCCTTCGAGGACCGAAATTTCCAGAGGGTTGGCAACGTGGTAAATCTGTTATCAAGGTGGGCCCGTACGGGAACACCACAAACCAACCCCCAACCAGCTCAGCCTCAAACTGTGACGCCCGTCCATCAAGACGACAATATGTGGCAAGACTCTCAATTTTTAAGGGAGCTAGACCGGGTGGAAGAGGAAGCAAGGCGGGCAATGCTACCAGGGCAGTCACGACAGGTGACATCGGAGGACACAAGGGGGTTTGAGCCACCGTCATTTAGTCTGGGATTGACACAGGAGATGGCAACCACGAGGGCAGACGGCAACACGCCAGGGCTGTCGTCTGTACACACGCCAACTCAGCAGGTGCAAAGTATTAACAGGTTAAGCCTGTGCATTTACGCACAATTTGTGTGGTCTTTTCTAACTTCCAGGTGCAGGTACGCGTGCAGGCGCAGCGGGGAGGGCCCAAGTTAGGGTCAACACCCCAGTTCGTACCCCCAAGGGTGAGAGCGCATCCGGATCGCCAGCCAACAACCACCACTGGGCATGGTGGCATGTTTTTCAGCACCAGCAATGGGTACCCTAACATGCCATTACCACCGGTCTATGTCGTTTGGATGTGGTTGTTCAACTCCCCACACGGTGACCGGTAAGTTGCATGAATCTCGCATACGAGCATATAAAAGCAACCGCATTGTGGCTAAAAAAAAAAAAAACAATATACAGGAGTGAAGTTCTATTCCGCCATGGCACACGCATAGTGAATTGGAAGCAATTTTTATCGTTAAAGGCAAGGACGAACGTTTGTAAACCGATGGTAGATGCATGGTGCTCGGTGCTCAATGCAAGGGAGCACCCAGGGGGTCGGGAGGTGCCTTCTCGACTGTTTGTCTCAACATCCGCTACGGTATTGTGATCCATGCAGTTTAATTTATACTCTTTTCAAGACAGGGAGCACATGAATGCTATTGGTTATATATATCTACTAACTGTTATTGGTTGCAGATTGGGACGGTGGTGAACGTCGCAGCCAGTCGAGATCAAAGGGTAACGTGGTTTCAACGGCGTCTTGATACTGAGTTCCAAACAACTAGCCACGTGGGGACAGCCACGTTGGACATGGTAAGATGAGAGTCATGTTTCAAGTAGGTAGTTTAATCCGCAACGCACAGCGAATAGCGTGGGCTAACCCCTATAATTTGTGTTGTGCAGTATTTCTTCCCCATATTCTACAAACCACGGTTCTACGTGATGTGCATAAGTTTTAAGCACAACGAGTTTGTCATCATCGATAGCTCACCAACGACCAACATGGATACGGAGTTGCACGGTACAGCACCAGATGAATTGGTAAACACCACGCACTCTCGACACTGAATGCTATTGGTCATGTATACTCGCACACCCTCTTATCTTATGTCTGATTGCAGAGGGACCTCCTCGCCGCGTACCTAGATACTAAGCAGCACACTGTTCGAGCTCTACGATTGAGAAACATGCAGCCCGAGAGGATGAAGTTGGCATGGTCTGACAACCCTATCAACGGTGACTCTGGAGTGTACACAATGAGGCACATAGAAGATTTTGTTGGTCAAGATCCCAGATATTGGCAGTGTGGGCTGGGGACGAGAGATACCGCGGTCATTGAAAATATGCGAACGAGATTTCTACACAACATCTTGCTATGTACGGTCAATGGCAACATCGACAATATCCGCACACGAGCAGGCGAGTATGATCGCGATAGGACCGAACAACTATTAAAAGGGGCACCACAGTGTAGAACAGTATGAGGTAGTGGGGGGTTGGATGACAGTGGTGGGAGGCAATGTAATTTAGACTGCTTAGTTTTGTTTGATTTTGTGCACAGCTTCAGCCAAAGTGCAATAGGTCCCGAACAAGGCTGTTTAGTTGGGTAACATATTAATAAATTATATGCATAAATGGATTAATGCCAACAGTAATATGCCAAACTCACAATTATTAACCGGGAAACACGCTCAGGTTTTTGAATTAGGTGACCACAAACCGAGAAATACACACCTACATGGCGGAGCACGGGAACTACAACGCACCAAGTCTCCCAACGTCGGATCACTCAGATCAGTGCACCGCAATAGTCCACTAGTTCACATTTAAGTAAGAGTGTGCACCAGAAAAGCTCCATATATATATATATATATATATATATATATATATATATATATATATATATATATATATATATATATATATATATAGGGTTAGGTTCCTGTGAGGTCAAGTCTTCCCGTGCAGCATACACCATTAGGTATGCATAAATACACCTCACAGTGTTCGTAAATACACCATTATATGTGGTGTATTTTTTTCTGTGGTGTATTTTTTGACTTTTCATTCTGATGTATTTTCGAACACTGTATGGTGCATTTATACATACATAATGGTGTATGCCGCACTGACCGCACGGGAAAACCTGAACTCACATGAACCAAAATCTATATATATATATATATATATATATATATATATATATATATATATATATATATATATATATATATATATATATATATATATATATAAGATTGCGTTCACATGAGGACAACAATATATAGAGAACTGTGCAGACAGATCATCGGCACACGACAAATTAGTATCATGCACACAATTTAATACACAATGGCACACTAGCATACATGTAAATATCAAGTTTCAAACTTAAGGGTTCTATTAATTAACAAACCTATACACACGACATACAAATTTTGGCACACGACTACATCTAGCCATGCACATGACATACAAACTAATAACACACGACTACATCTATCCTCACAGTCCTCTATAATATAATTGTCCTCATTTGAATAAACTTCTATATATATTACTGCGACAAGGCGATCGGGGGCGCCATGATAGGCTTGTTTTCAATTCCCTATTTATACATTGTTATATTCCACAGAGCATCATAACTGCAAAAATGAAAATTTTACACAGGACTAATTTAAAACTGTACCTGTAAACGATGATGCATGTTCTTGACTTGAACATGTATCTCTCCCTACAAAATAAAATACAAATAGCATATGAAACATATGCTCTTCTCTGAGCATTTGGAGTTTTAATATCCAACATCTCTGATGGCAATCAGTATCCCACTTTCAGGATGATTTTTCTCATGGAAATTCAGAAACCATTAACCCAGTAGTAGTACTACTTTTCCGTTTCCAAACTTTCCAAGTCTTTCTCTTTCTCTTCCACCTTAACATTGCTGTCCTTTTAGATTTCCATTTTCTATATTTTTCTCTATCCTGTAGCCAACCTGCATAATCCTTCCCTTGTTTGCACTCAATAAAATCGGCTAACTCGTCAAAATCGGAGTCATGTTTTGCGTTGGGTTCCATGCACCTGAGAAAGATCTCACCGTTCAATGTTTCCTCTTCAACGCTCACCATTTCTTCTTTGTCAAATAAACAAGAAGAAGCACTTGATGAACTCTCTGGCCATCCATCTTCCACACTGCCACAATACTTTACCATAGTCTTTGACTTGCTGACAAAAAGTTGAAACATGCAAGGAATAAGCAAATATAAAAGCATTGCCAACATGAAACCAAGCAAACCATTGGTTACAAATAACAAAATATGTAGACAGATGATTAAGTCCCAGTGGGGAAAACACTATGACAACTGTTACTCCGTATAATCTAAGATTGGGCCAAGGTCACTCAATTGGGCTATAATTTACATCGGCCAAACCACACTAAAAGACTGAATCCAATCAATTAGCTAGTCTAACTCATGACCTTATAAACCTATATATTCTCTCTTATTTTTGCAGTGCGAGACTCTTAACAAAAACAAATTTTAGGAGTTCGAGTCCATATAGATCAACCATGACCATAGAATTAATGCCCATCTTAGAAGAGAACATGACTAACATCAAAGCAGAAAGTGAACTAAAACTGGACTCGAATATAGTGTACATATTTAGGCCTTCCCTAACAAATGTGTTACTTTTACAGTTTTCCTTTTTCTGATGCAATAAACACCAATACAGATAAAGATGCATTTTTAGCACTGAAATAAAGAATTGAACTTGGTGTCTAGGGAAGTAGTGAAAGAGTAGGTAAAAAAAAGGGAAGAAAATAGTTAACTTAAAGATATATGGAATACGTCTTAATAACGAATGAAGTTAATCAAAATTTTGAAGATAAAGCACTACAGTGGAAACAATAAAGTAAAGAGGCAAATGGTCAAGTAAAACACAGACTGCAACAACAATCTCATTTAAAATACATATAATGGATGAGAACCTCAAGTATAGATTCTGTATATTTTGAAATTTTGATGCAACCATTATGCTAGGCCTCTGGTCCATTACTGCCTGCATCACAAATAGTAGTTGAGAAAGCTGCAACATATTTCTCATTACTTATTTTTAAAAGAAAAAAAGTAAACAAACTTTCACCTCTTGGATTCTGACCAGGGGTAACGCAGAGGAATCGGAGACGGAGTCTGAGCCAGAAACAATTAATGACCTCAACTCATCTAAATAACCCTCTTCAAGTACAAACAAATTCACCAGAGCAGTGATAGTTAACAAGCACCCATTTGCTAAGCAACCAATCCTCTTTAAAAAACTAAACGCAAGCATGCCTGAAAAATGCAGAAGCATCACCATGAAATCCTTGTGCTTGATGAAGTTCGTCTCCATTATGTTACATAAGAACAGTTGGACTGGGAAGTGTATTTTGGATTCACTAAAACAGCTAATTGAACCCAAAATAGACATGTACTCCTTGCACAATGAGTAGTTTTTCAAGGTTTTGAAAGACCCATAACTTTCACCATTCCAGAGATATGATATAGCATGCAGCAAAGAAGTGCCCATTAACTTCAATACAGCAACTAGGAGACATATAGCCTGAAGATCCATACCCTTGATTGCAGGCTTTACAGATTCATCAAAGCTCACTGATGCTCTTAAAATCAGACAACTTATAATTGAGAATACATCATCTTGGCATGATTGGTCCAGAAGACATTGGCAATCCTTCACATATGCAATACACGAACTGGTCATGTCAGATTTCAGTTCAAAGAAATGGTTGCCTAAGAATGAATCTGATGAATCCTCAAACCTTTTAATCAGAGAGTTTATCTTCTCCTGTGTGCTTGGCAATATATAAGATTCAAAAGGTGGAGGAAAGTTCCCTCTATATGTGCTTGAGTTGACAAAAGACGCACATTTACTTGGAGAATCACCATTGATCTGTACAAAGGATATAAGTTTCATATACATATTGACTGATTTTTCAAACACTGAGAGAAAGCAGTCAAGAAGTTTACAGTTTGGTTTCAGGTTTTGAACATCCATCAAACCACTCATGGCTTCAGATACTGATGAAACCACGTAAGCTTGCATAATTTTTGGGGCAGAAGAAACAATTGGATTGAGAAGCAATGATATGGCCCCAGTCAGACTCACTTCTGGAGTTTTAAAGAATTTGAAATCCTTCCTCTGTGCTCGGAAAAGTCTATAAAGAAAATCTTCAATTGCATTTTCACCAGAAAATGATAGGAGAAAGCAAGTGGAAACAAGTTCCATAAGGATTCCAATATCACTCTGACGTTTCTTTGAACTAATATCTTTCTGAGTGGACTGAGGCATAAACAAAGTTTCACTAGTAGAGGAAAATAAGTCAATCAGCCTAAATATTGCTCGTAATTTGCCATGAACCAAAAGCTCATCAAGAAATACCTGAGTATATAATGTCCATGTTAATTAGGAAGATCTGCAGCAAATAGTTTTGTTTAAAAAAAAAAAAAAAAGAACTTAGCAAATAATTCTTATAAAAGTATTCAGCAAAATGAGTGTCATGAAACTAATGCATGTCAGCATGCGATCAGACTTCTAGACAACTCAGAGTCATGTCAGAGAAGAGCTAGAATCAAGGTTCCTAATGGACTGAACTCAACTAAGCCTTAATCCTGAACTTCCAAATGTACTCAACAAGATCTCAAAAAGTGAAATTCATGAATAGCTGGTTCAATAAAGAATGTAGATTATCAAGATCATGCTAAGGATCAACATGAATAATCAAACTTTTCTTCTGCAAATCAACAGAAACATAAGTTTGATTCCAGAATACTGAAAGCAGAACCCTCAATAAGGATGATGATACACAGTTGTTTTTGCAAGCAATATAAGAGTAAACTATACAAAAACATGTAATTTGGAGATTTTGAGGGGATACTGTACCCCCAATGTTTATGTAATCAAATTTGAACTATCAAGACTCAAGTGTATAATTCAAACAGTATGCTTAAGGTAATACAATTTCCTTTAAAGAAAATATGCCAAAGAATATGCATACCCATGGTTGTATCCACACACACACACAGACTTATGAGTGAATATATGCACCCATATACTGTCATATACTACAACACTATGAAGCATGTGGTCTTGGCCTCTTTTTCCCAGTCAAGTAACTTGAAGCATTATCTTCTGTTCAATAGTAATAGGAGTTGTATATTATGTTATATCTCATCATATTTGTAATATGCTTTGCAATCAAGGCATTCTACTCCCGCATGAGACTATGTTGCCATAAATATAAAATCATGACTCAGATTTTTTATATTCATAGCAAGCACAAAAGAAAGACTTGTTCTTCCTTTGAAAATTCAACAAGAAAATTTTGCACAAGCATATATACCTCCAACATAGCAATTGCAAATGAAGTTTGAAGATTAGGTGGCTCATAGAATTGAAGGGAAGCAACAAGTTCCTCTCTGGAAGTGGTTGTGAAATCATCATCATCATATGTGCACGCATGAAAAACTGAGTTCTGCAAACTTATGTCTTTCCTGTCTTTTCTCTTTGGTAAGTTTATGGAACACAACTTACAAAGTATCTTCAAAAGAATCCCGCCTTTTTCCAAAACAACATTATGATCATATATATGCAATTCCAGGATAGCCATACTACACCTTAACAGCAAAACTAGTACTTCAACTGTACAATTCACATGTATGCTACCTTGTCCAAGATCCTTGCTTGTACAAACATCATATAGAGAAGAGAATAAATTGTTAAACCTCAACGGTAGTTCTTTGAATAAAATGTCAGAAATCCCTCGTAGATCATTCACATCAACTTTGCTCAGGGAATCCATGGACATATGGACAAGTAAACAATACAAACTCTTCAAGATGGGTGATTTTATGCCCTGCAGTTGCACATAAATGAAAAATATGTTACAACTTAGCTAAAAGTCTCCGATTATGCCAATTTCCATGTTTTAGATCATTTGAAGTCTGAATACTTAGTAATTTTTATCTCTTCGCACTACATTTCTTTCTGCATACATCAGCCATCCCATTCCATTATCATGTAATGGTGGAATTTTCTCTCTTGGCACTAGAAGGTTGGAATTTTATCCTATATACATACATACATACATATTCATCAGAAATTGGAACTGAAAAATCATTGAACTGTTACCAAAGAATAAAACTTTAACAAGCAAATACTACTTTTGAGTTAACCACAAGCTGCAGACCCCTTTAGGTTCACCGTTATACCCACACATCCAAAGAAATGAGGTTTTTCAACTAAAAACCCACTTCTAAAATAACAAATTTGGCATCGTCGAATTTCACCAAATATAAATAAAATTTAAAACGGAAATTGTACTTTTACTTGTACAACAAACGGATACATACATAAAAAAGATATGTAATGGACCTCAGGAGTTTTGATTGCGGAGAGCAGCTTCTGGAGTGCTCGAGAATAATTCGAATCGGGGGCAGAATCCAGGGTTTGTCTCCGAGAATCTTTGCGGATCTTCCGCTTTCTTGTTGAAGCCATTACTCGATTTTGCAATGATACTAGCTTCTACACAGCAAGTCTTTGTTCCTCCAAAAACATTTCATAAACAGAATGGGGGAAATTGAGAAATTTCAATATTACAATATCCCTACTGGAAACTGCGTGCCTCAGTTTTTTGGCGCGAAAATTAATTTACATTCGGTCTAAATTTGAAATTAATAAGAATTTACACAATCGCAATAGGGATTATAGGGAGGGGCGGTGAGTGGGGTCCCACCCATCCCTAAATTAAAGGGTCAAAGACAAAAATAAGAATAATTTTGGAGTCAATGACAAAAATTAAAAAGTAAATAATTTTGAGAAAAATTCATTTTGGACATCCTTTATGATTAAAAACGCAAGTTTCAAATGAATTTTTTGAAATTTTTAAAAATAATTTTTTTTTATAGTTGGACAACGTGAAACATAAGTGTCACTTGCGTTTCTTCTCACCAAAGCTAATCAAGAGGTCGTTGGAGAAGTGGGAAAATATGGATTTGGTGAGGAATGGATTAGAAGTGAGAGTTGGAGCCATGAATGAATGCCGCAAATCCACAAGTCTATAATGGGGTATGGGTTCAGGGAGGAATTGATTAGAAGTGAGAGTCAGAACCATGAATGAATGCCAATGCAGGGGACAAAGACTCTCATGGGACAAAAATAACAACGGTAGATAAAAATAAGATATTTTTAAAAAGTGTACAAGAATGGAAAAAAACTACTTTCCCAAATAGGTATGTTGTCAGATTTTTTTTCAAGGTCAAACAAACACGCAAGTCTCATTTGTGTATGTATTTTTTTTTTTTATAACTTGGTTTTCGGCGACCAAACTAGTCATTGGGGAGAAGTCGGCGACCAAGTTTAAAAAAAAAAAATACATACGTAAATGGGACTTGCGCATCTTGAGATACACAAGTCCCACTTGCGTGTCTGTTTGACCTCGAAAAACAAATCTGACAACATATGCATTTAGGAAAGTAATTTTTTCCATTCTTGTACATGTTTTTTAAATGTCCTATTTTTGTCCACAGTTATTTTTTTTGTCCTATTAGGGTCTTTGTCCCGCCAACGCAATGCCTATTCACATTTATCCATCACCTCTTGATTAGCTTTGGTGAGAAGAAACGTAAGTGGCACTTGCATTTCACGTTGACCAATCATTTAAAAAAAAAATGTTTTAAAAAATTTCAAGAAACTCATTTGGTACTTGCGTTTCTGACAAGAAACCCATGTCCCATATGAGTTTTTCCCGAAATTGTCTATTTTTAAAAATCTTCACATTTTTTGTCATTCATTTCAAAATTATTCATATTCCTGTCTTTTCAAAATGAAGGTGCATCATTAAAACCTTCCCCTTACTTATTCATGAATTAAGGTGTGTCATTAAGTGTTAGAACAACACACCTTAAAGTATGTCTTCGTAACACCTTATTTGAATATTTATTTCTTTATTTGTAGTGCTTTAAAATAAGAGTGTTCCATTTTATTTTTTTTTTGTAACTGTGTAATGATTTCTCTCTTTCTTCCCCTTGGTTGCCAGCCTTCTCGTTCCTCAGTCGTTCCTGGTGTGCAGTGTGTTTATGGCGACTTTTTGACTCGTTTCCGGCGTGCAGATTGTCTCTCCGATGGTGCCTAGTAAGTATTTTGTTTCTTTTTGTTTTCCTTCCTCGTTTCCGGCAACTGTTCCTTGGTTGTCGTCATTGCCGTGCTTTTCTACTCGTTTTTGCCGTGGTTCACACTGACACGTTTTTGTTTGTTTGTCATGTCGGCTTGCAATGCTATTTTTTTCAGTGGGTTAAATTTGTGCGTTGTTGTTTGTGCATGTCTGGGTGTAATGTGTGCAACTAGAGTTGATTTTGGATTATGTTTATCAATGGATACTTGGGGTTGGTCATGCTGTGCAATCGTGTGCAGGTCAGGGTGCAAGTTTATTCTTTTTAAATTTGTTTGTGGTAACGGTGCACATCAGTGTTGGTAAGATCACTTGATCCTTTGCAGTCATTTAATTTCATGTGGGTAGGGATGTCTTTTCCTTTGTGTTGAATTATTTGCACACGTGTACTTTTGTGAGGGCCTGAATAAGACTAATGTTGTTCTAATTCCCAAGAGGAATGTCCCTGAGTCTGTGTCCGATTTAAGGCCAACTGCTTTATGTAATGTTGTGTATAAGATTATGGCCAAGATACTAGCTAATCGGATGAAATTGTTGTTAAGGGAGGTGATATCTGAATCTCATAGTACGTTTATCCTTTACAGGCTTATTACTGATAATATTTTGGTTACAATAGAGGTTGTTCACTATCTGAACAAGAAGCAGTTGGGGAAAGTGGGTTGGGGGCGCTCAAATTGGATATGGCTAAGGCTTATGATCGGATGGAGTGTTTGTTCCTTCAGCGCATGTTAGAGGTTATGGGTTTTGCGGTGGGATGGGTAGACTTGGTAATAAAGTGTGTCACATCCTTATCTTACAATATCATGATAAACGGTGTCAATGGTGGCTAGGTTAACCCCTCATGTGGGCTTAGACAAAGTGATCCCTTGTCGCTTTATTTGTTCATTATTTGTGTTGAGGGTCTTTCCCTTCTGCTGCAACAATCTCAGGCTTTTGGTTCCATTCATGGATGTAGGGTAGCTGGAGGAACCCTGCCATCTCACATTTATTCTTTGCTGATGACAGTTTGTTATTGTTTAAGGCCAATGTGCAGGAAACTATAGTGGTCAAGCAGTGCCTCCATACTTATGAGTGTCTCTCTGGGCAAGTAGTCAACTTTCATAAGTCCAATGTTTGTTTTAACAAGAACAGTGCGGAGGTGGATTGTGGGAACGTGGCGACTTTATTGGGTGTTGCTCAAGCTGAAAACTTTGGGAAGTATTTGGGCTTGCCTTCTTTTGTGGGGAGAAATAAATGGGTTATTTTTCTTACATTGAAAACAAGATTAGGCAGAGGATTGGTGCATGGAACAAGAAGCTCCTCTCGCGGGCAGGCAAGTAAATTATCCTCAAAAGCGTGGCCCACGCTATGTCTATTTTCTCTATGAGTATCTTTTTACTCCCAGACTCCTTGTGTCAGGCAATTAAGAGGACTATGAATCGGTATTGATGGGGCTCGAGTGGAGCAATGGTAGGGAGATACACTAGATGGCTTGGGATCTCTTGTGCGTTCCGAAGAAGTACAATGGTTTGGGGTTTAAGGATCTACTACTTTTAATGGAAATGTTAAGAAAACAGGCCTGACGTTTCCTCACTAAGTCACAAACTCTGGCAACACGAGTTTATAAGGCAAGGTATTCCCCTAACTCTTCTTTTACTAATGCCACTATGGGTAATTGCCCGAGCTTTTGTTGGAGAAGTATTATAACCGAACCTGGTCTATCTGGGTAATTGCATTTTGCACCCTAGTCTAAATTGACATTAAGATAACGTGTCTGCAGTTAACATACTATGCCTACAATTATAGTTAACAGATTATGTGTTTGTAAATAAATTGATGACACATAATATGTCAACTACAAACACAAAAAAATGTTAATCACAGACACAAAATATGCAATTAACATATTATGTGCACGTAATTAACGTATTATGTGAATTCAATTTATTTACATGCACATAATTATTAACTGAACACACATAATATGTTAACTACATACGCATAATTTTTGAATCAGAATTCACAATGCAATGTGAATCTGATCATGGTATGACAATTGTCATGGTTTCTTACTCACATTATTTTAGACTAAATAGTAAATACGCATGATCCAAACACGTATTGCAGACATCATTTCGAATAAATATGCATGATTTATTTATTCAAACTTGTAATTATTATTTACAAAAAATGTTAATAATTAAATCTTTAATCATCACAATACTCGAAGGACACAAGGAAAATTATATAAATTTAAAATATAAATTTTAAGTTGGATGTCACTTTGTACTCAAATGACAATTCTGTGGCTCTCCTTGATGAAAAGTTACAGAATCAAATTCGATACCACCTTGTAATAAAGTGAATAATACTAAAAAAAAGCTCGTAGCCTCGTATGTGCAACTCAACTGGTTATAGGGGTGAAGTTTGGAAAGAATGACCAGAGATCGAGTCTTACCAGTAACAGTGTGAGAGTAAGAGTAACCTCTCAAAGTGAGGGGGCTCCTTAATTGTGCGCAGTAACCTCACAAAGAAGAAGAAGTTGGAGTGTTACTTTCAATCCGTTTGTATTTTTCTTCATATTTAAGGTTAAAGAATAAGTTAAATTAACAAACTCTTTGTCCTTGACGTACCATTCTTTACTGATTTGTAGTTTTCTCAATATTTTTTTTTTTTCAATTTCACACTCTTTTCACAAGCCAAACCTCAATCCTCAAGCCCTAATGGAAATACTCCAGTGATTTAATATTTACTGATCAAATTAATTTATTTTAGTAATTTTTAATATGCTTTATAATTTTTAAAATTAGTTTCTTGTGTTTAATAACATTTTTATGTAATTTGTAAATATATAAATATTATAATAATTATATATTAACACTAATTTAAATATTACAAAAATAAATTTTAAATAACTTCAATTATGCTTCGATAATCGAATTAATCACATAAAATGAGACAGATGAACAACTAATAGACAAATAATAATAATAATAATAATAATAATAATAATAATAATAATAATAATAATAATAATTGATATTGTTGGATCTCAACGTTACACTAAAACCAATTAATTATTGGTATAGTTTTTTTGGCTATCTGTTGCCATATTATACTTAAAATCAATTTGTGATAAGTAAGTGTAAATTAACCCTTTAAACAATTTGTGATAAATTCTCTATATTTTGAGTACTATTGACTCTATTAGAAGGTAATTGCTATTCTATACTTTCTCTATTTGTTGCAATCCAAAGAGTCAATACCCAATCATCCAGGTTTGATCCTGTGACCTTTACTCAAAAGAGAGCCACAAAAAATGTTATATGAGCACAAGATGCTTGGCAAATACATCCTTTCATAATTAAGCCACAACACCACGTCTCGAATCGAGTAGAGGTTAAACTCGGCCAACCCGACTAACGCCCGTATTGAATCAGTTTTGACCTGACATTTTCTCATAAAATGGTTTAAAATAACTAAATGCACTTCTAAAAAAAAAATAATCAATTTGCATTTTCTTTAAAATAAATTTGGTTTTGATGGTTTAATTACTTTTTAAAAAATAATTTCAAAACTTATTTACCTCTTATTACAAAACAAAAAGTAAAAATGGAAGGAGAAAAAGTAAAAATATTTGTTTCTTTTTTGAAAAAATCATTGAATATAACATTTAAAATACTTGAAAAACTATATATTCTAAAATAAGGATGTACATATCTAGAATATAATCTCATTAAATATATGTCTAATCTCAGGTAGGAAGCAAGAATGATAACAGTTCCCAACCAATGTTGATATACTTTTGTTAATTCTAATCAATCAAATAATATAATTGAGACTTTCATTAAATTATAATTCATTTACAACTCAATTATCAAAAGTCTTGAAATTCAAATCTTTACACATTTACTAAAACAAAATTTTACAGTGATGAGTTAAACAAAGTGAGTTGGTAAGAACTTTTCCTTTTGATTTGCCGGAAAGTGGAATAAGAAAAAGAAGACACCCATCCATCCAAATCTAGAAGAAAATTTTCCCAATAAACCAACTTCTCTCTTCTCTTGTGAGTTGTCGGTGGTGTTCTTGGAGGAGTTGAAACAGTAGCATCGACCCGACCCCACTCCCCTTACAAATTTACAAAGGCCCCCCTTTCCATCCGTGATTCTTGCAACCATGGCCTCATAACTTCACGCGGGGGAGTGGGTCAACTTCATCTTCTTGGCTTTGGGTGCTCGAAAGTTGATCACTTTACACTCTACACTGCCCTCTACTGTGTTAGCTCGTTTTTCACATTCTTCACCCTCCGGGGGAGAGCGTAAGGAGAGAAGAGAAGAAAGGAAACATCTTTTTCAGTTTTCTTGCTGAATTGGCTGAGAAAGGTTTTGGTTTCTTGGGCCCACATGCGCGGGCTAAGCCGGCTTGGCAGCGGCGTCAGCACGCCGTCGCCGCCGTCTTCGCCGCGCTACCGTAGAAAGAACTCGCCCATTGGAGGTGGCGGCGGGAGCTTCCGCGGTGGCGTAGATGGCGGCGGGGTCAAGCTGCATAATTTCGCCGAGAAATTGGGGTTTATGCTCGTGTCGGCGGTTTACCGCCGCCGTGGGGTCCTGCTTTTCGCCCCTTTACTCTATATTTCCGGAATGTTATTGTATATGGGCACTTTGGGCTTCAGTGGCGGCAGGGGTGGCAATGAGGTGGCGCCGCCGGGATCAGTGTATCGGAGCCCTCAGGTATTTGAGAAGCTTTGGCCACATATGCAGGTTGAAAATAATGGAACCCCAAATTTGGTAAATCTCTTAAATTTCCTTGTTCTTTTATAAATTCCACTTCTTTCAGTTCTTTGTCTTATCAATTTATTTGATTGTGATTTGTTCAGGGTGTTCGAAAAATCTGTAGCTTAAAATATGAACTCAAGAATTTGCCCTCTGAGAATTAGGATAAGTAATTAGAAAAGATGTGCTTAATGCTCAACATTTGTATTCCAATATAGTGTTAGAATATGTAAGAATGATTTATGGAGTACTAATTAACAGATCTTTAGTACTAAAATTAGCAAGTGGGAAAGTTATTTTCGACAATTTAGCGAGTTCTTGGGTGCAGGCAATGCTTAATGGAAAACAATCAAAACATTGCCGGGCATTGGGCAATAGTACATGTTCTTGCTTATTTTTGTTCATTGGATAAGGAACGTTTTCGAAAAATAAGTAAAAAATCGACTAAAAGTTGATGGCTTGAAACTATGCAGTTAACGAATGTGTGGAATCCAAAGTTTCATCAAAATTGGAAGCCTTGTCTTGACAAGACTATTTCTCAAGCAGGTTAGTATTCTGTCTATTGCCCATTCGAATTTCTTTTTTCTTAAGCAATTCCCGTTGAAGATCATCCCCTTCCTCAACTCAGTTCCAAGTAGGAATCTGGAGATTTTTTGTTCATTTCAATAATGTATCAGAGCCTATTGGCTGTCTGTTCTCCTGTAATATGTAATGTTGGAATTTTTAGTTTGAAAACCAGCCGTTGATATTTGATATTTCTTCAAATTTAAAAAACGAGTATTTGCTGGATCATCCTCTGATTTTTATCAGAAAAATTCCGAGACTAGATTGTATTGTACATGCTAGTGTTGTGAATTGTGATAGCATTTCGATATTTGATTAAATAAATAAACTAAAATTTAAATTCTTTTTTCTTCTAGGGTTGCCGGAATCACCAAAGTCAAATGGTTTCCTCATAATCGAAGCAAATGGTGGGTTGAATCAACAAAGGTTATCGGTACGTTCTTTTGATACAATATTGCCCTTTGGCATCTAAAGCATAACATATGTTGTTGATGAATGCAATTGCCTTCATTTTTGCGATATCATTTCCGATTGATTGATATCAATTTCTTGTGTTTATTAGATTCAAATTTGTTACATAAAATGCTGCCCCGACTTTCTGAAGGACATATAAGATATAACCGAACCTCTTCTTATTACAGATATGTGATGCAGTTGCAGTTGCTGGTCTGCTGAATGCTACACTTGTTATTCCAATATTTCATTTAAATAGTGTTTGGCGAGATTCCAGGTAAAGCTGCCACATAATTATATTAAGCGGTCTAGTCTTCATAATATTGTGTATGCTATTACTAGTAATCCTTTAGATTTTGAATATGAGAACTAGATAACACAGATGCCTTGATACCTTCGATCTCTTCCTCTCTCCTTTTTTTCTTTTTAGTGTATAATTATTATAATCATACTGTTTTCCTTTTTGTTACGGAGGCTTCTTAGTGGCTCAGAGAGGTTTGTTGGTTTCTTAGTGGCTCAGAGAGGTTTGTTTGATGCTCAGAGGACACCTTTTCTTGTAGAGGAAAGTTAGAAGATTTGGATTTAGTTATAAGGTATAAGTGAGAATGATCTTTGAACATGTAATGTATTGTATGTTGGTTTCTACAAATTGTTCTAATCAAGAGGTTAGGAGCTTGAAGTATATTAGTGATCGTAAAGAGTTCTCCTTTTTCACATGGTATCAGAGTCTAGGGTGGGTGTCGGTTCAGTTCGGGTGATACCCAAATTTTATTTCAAATGTCTGAAAATTTCGGGTGAAATTTTTGTCACCCGATATTCGAACCAAATTTAATTTGGATATGTTCGGTTTGGGTGAAATTTTTTCTGGTTAGTATGGATATACTCAAAATTTTATTTTTATCAATTTTGAGTTTTTAATGATTTTATTATTTTTGTATTTATATTTTTTCATATACTATCCAACTAAAAATGAGACAAAATACTAATAATTAATTAAGGGACTTTTGAAAGTTAATATATTATTAATTATGAAATACATTTAAAAGTACATAGCATGTTCGGTCTATTTTGTGTTCACCCAGTTGTGAACCCGTAGTATTGGGCGTCCAAGCTTTCATTTTAGGGGAGGGTCCAATACAATTTCAAGTGGTCAACCGGTTAGATTCAAAATGGCCTGTTGTCTACTTGATGGGGAGTGTTAAGAGTCCCACATTGAAAAAATAAAAGAGAACATATGAGTTTATAAGGCCATGGTTGAGTTTAGACTAGCTAATTTATTGGATTCAATCTTTTAGCCTAGTTGAGTGACCTTGACCCAATGTTACGGTAAATTTGGCCTTAACACCTTCTCAGGAATTAAAAAGTACTTTGAAATATTATTGCAGTCAATAATTCATGCTTGCATCTCTCACTTTTTCTTAATTGCATTGAAGTCATTTTGATTCCCGCTGTGCAGCAAAAAGGTATTGCAAATATAACAGTTTCGTTTCTCAACCTTCCAAAATTTTGCAGCAAGTTTGGTGATATCTTTGACGAGGAATTTTTCACATACGCTCTAAGGAATCACGTCAACGTGGTAAAACAACTTCCAGAAGATGTACTTCAGCGTTTTGACAATAATATAAGTAACATTGTGAATTTAAGGGTGAAGGCTTGGTCCAGTCCAGACTACTATAGGCAAAAGGTCCTACCAAAGCTATTGGAATTGGGGTATACATCGTTTTCTTGCTTTTTGTTATTTTTCATATATTATGGCATTATATTATATTGCGACGACTTATTTATCACATAGCTACCTTTGTTATGATACATGGTGCAGGGCTGTACGCATTGCACCATTTTCTAATAGATTGGCCCATGCAGTTCCTCCAAATATCCAAGGTCTTCGGTGCTTGTGCAACTTTGAAGCGCTAAGATTTTCAGAATCCATACGCATGCTTGCAGCAAAGATGGTTGATCGAATGATTAAAAATAGCTCCAGAAGTGGAGGGAAATATGTTTCAGTGCATCTTCGATTTGAAGAGGTGCAAATTTGTGTCTTTGTCCAACTTTTAATTTAATTTAATTTATTATTAGTTTTTGGTTAGATCATGAGGTGTCCTGAGCAGACCCTAACTGTAGGAGGCACCTTTAAGCCCGTATCATACTCAGACTAATACCCATTCGCACCGGGTCGGTCCAATTAACGGGCGAAGTGTTGGCCAGATTGGTTTTTCCATATGAGAGGGGGTTTGAACTCCTAACCTCTCTTAAGGGATGAGAGTGCACGACTATTCACACCAATCAAGTTGGTTAATTTTGACCTAACTTCAATGGAAGTTAACTTTTTTATTTTCGTCTTTAAAGGATATGGTTGCATTTTCTTGCTGTATATATGATGGTGGCGAGAAAGAAAAGCTTGAGATGGATGTTGCTCGAGAAAGAAGTTGGAGAGGAAAATTCCGCAAAAGAGGCAGAATTATAAGGCCAGGTGCGATAAGGATGGATGGAAAGTGCCCGCTTACTCCACTTGAGGTATGAGAAATATGGTGAATATCCAAACCTCATCTTCTTTCCTTTCTTTACTGCCTTTGCGTCTTGTATCTCATCACGCACAGAAACGCATTGTATATATCCCATTTCAACTACATATCTCCAAAGTGCTCTATTTCTCCAGTCGGGCATTAATTCTATGATTTCATGTTCTAGGTGGGCATGATGCTAAGAGGCATGGGATTTGATAATAGCACCCCGGTTTATGTTGCTGCTGGAAAAATTTATAAGGCCGAGAAGTATATGGCTCCACTCAAACAGATATTTCCACATCTCGAATCGAAGGATACACTTGCTTCTGCAGAAGAACTAGCTCCGTTTGAGGTATATAGGCTAGAATTTCCACACGCCCCCCATTCCTAGTTTCCTACCATTTGTTGTAACCGAACTGTATATGTTTGGCATGCAGGGACATTTATCTAGGTTGGCGGCTCTTGATTATACGGTTTGCCTCTACAGTGAAGTTTTTGTCACAACACAGGGTGGTAACTTCCCGCATTTCTTAGTGGGTCATAGACGCTATTTGAATGGAGGACATGGCAAGACAATCAAACCCGATAAGCGGAAATTAGTTCTTCTGTTTGATCGTCCAAGTATAAGGTAATATGCAAGTAACCTTCTCTACTCCTCTTTGTTTGTTCCGGTTAAGAGTCCCACATTGAAAATATAAGAGAGAATATATGGGTTTATAAGGCCATGTGTTAGATTAGTTAATTGATTGGATTAAGTTTTTAGTGTGGTTTAGGTTATGGGCAAATTATACAAAAATGACTATTGTTTTTGCCATTTAATATCCTAGACTATTACTTTTTGGACACTTTTAGTTCTTCTCATGACTTTTCATATTTTTAGTAAGGGCATTTTTGTCTTTTCATATTTTTCTTTCGTTATTTTTTGGGTTTCAACCGGTTTAATCGGTTTAGAACTTTAGGTAACCTCTGATTTTTAGTAACTATATTTTTCAACCAGTTTTTAGTAAAGTTCTAAACCTATTAAACCGATTGAAACCGGAAGAATAACAAATGAAAAATATGAAGAGACAAAAATGCCCTTACTAAAAATAGAAAAAATCATGGAAGGACTAAAAGTGTCCAAAAAATAATAGTCTGGGATGTTAAATGGCAAAAATGATAGTCTGAGACTAAATTTGGAATTGTCACCAAAGACGAGGGACCTTTGGTGGAATTGACACATGATTTTTGGACCAGGGTTAACAATGCAACATGAACTCTGGTCCATGGTATAACAATTGGTTTGGGACACATGATTTTTGGACCAGGGTTCACAATGCAACGTGAACCCTGGTCCATGGTATAACAATTGGTTTGGTTTATAAGGCCATAATTCATTGGATTTAGTCTTTTAGTGTGGTTTGACCTATGTCCATTATAGCCTAATTGAGTGACCAGACCCTATATGGATATGGTTTGGAGGGCATGAACCTTGTTATTCTTTTTATACGAGTAACACATAATTGAAGCAAGCTTAATGTATTTATTGTTTATTTCCCAACAGATATAAAGACTTTAAACGGCAGTTGCAAGATATGCTTCATCACAACGACATGAAGGGTTGTGAGGTAAAAAAACCCAGCAACTCGCTCTATACATACCCAATGCCCGACTGCATGTGCAAACAAGCAGATGTGAATAATGAAAGCGGTAATACCACAAAAGCCCTTTAATACATAGGATACATACACATATTCCATAGAGTTTTTTGGGTTTACATACGTGTAATTTATATGTAGCTTAAAATTTCTGCCCGCCCCGGGGCGATATTATGGAGGCCTATTGTTCATCTTATAGGTATTGTATTCCTTAGAGATTCTTCGAGGTCCATTGAGGGGTTGGTTTGGTGATAGTTCTGAAATGTTAACTCACTCTGCACAAATATCCTCTGTTATAGAAACCAATTCTTTGTAACAACCACTTATTTGCGCATTTGGAGTGTTCTACTCAAGGCTCCTGTTTTTATTTGTTTCAATTGACACTACTACACTTTTTTTTTGGGGTCATCTTCTAGCAAATCAACACAGATTTATGTTGGGGGTGTTTGGTAAATAGCTATTAGCTGATTGAGTTAATGAGTTTGACTAGTTGATAACATTAGCTATTGTAGAAAGATGTTTGGTAAATTAGTTGTTAACTGATAGTTGATTACATGCAAAATAATTTTTTCAAAAAATTGATCGAAAAAACTTCTTTGGGTAGTTTTTTAAATTTGAGCTTTTTGAAACTCACCATATTTTAGCTTTAGCTATACTCACCATTTTTTTTTTTTTTTTGATGATTTTAAGTCGGTGTTTATCTTGTATGAATATAATGTTTATGCATAGTTAAATTGCACGAGGCAGGATTCATTTATATTATTTGTATGTTCTACAAATTGAGAATTTTAAAAATTGAAATGATGGTAAAATTTTCATTATGGCAAGACCCAACAATCCAAATGAATTTTAAAAGGAATAAGGGTCAAATAGGCCACTGAACTGCACACGAAAATGCAATTAGGCCATTGAACTTAAAAAATCTACAATTGGGTCCCTAAACTAACCAATTTCATTCAATTTGTCCATTTTTCAAGTTTCTCAAGTTGCTAACAAGTTACCCCTCCACCTAGGATGCATATGTGTCATTGTTTTAAATATAATTTATTTTTAAATTAGTTTTTTTAATATTTAATAAATAAAAACTAAAATAATTTATTTTTAAATTAGTTTTTTAATGTTTAATAAATAAAAACTAAAACAATTTTTTTTGAATATAAAATAATTTGTTAAGACGGCTTGGATTTTATTTTCAAAAAAACAAATTATTTTAATTTTTATTTATTAAACATTAAAAAAAACTAATTTAAGATTTTTTTAAAAAAAATTAATTTTTTTTTTAAATGCCACACATGCATCCTAGGTGGAGGGGTAACTTGTTAGCAACTTGAGAAACCTGAAAAATGGACAAATTGAATGAAATTGGTTAGTTTAGGGACCCAATTGTAGGTTTTTTAAGTTCAGTGGCCTAATTGCATTCTTGTGTGCAGTTCAATGGCCTATTTGACCCTTATTCCATTTTAAAAATATTGACACAGGTATGTAAATCATATATTCTTATTTTTTGAATACTCTACTGATTTCTATTACAATGTAGTATCTGTTCATATTCTTATTATTGAGCCAATATCACTTCCACTAAGGCTCAAACCCATATTCTTATTATTTCTATTACAATGTAGTATCTGTTCATATTTTTTCAACCAAATGAAGCACAAAGAGCCAATATCACTTCCACTAAGGCTCAAATTCACAACCTCCCCTATGAGGGAGAAACTTGGTACCATTGGACCACAAGGTCCTTAGCAATCAATTCTTATTTAATTAAATGCAATCAATTCTTATTTAATTAAATGCATCACTACCTTGTAGGTTGAGAAATTAGCTATGAACAGATACTACATTGTAATAGGGTCTGTAGTATTAAATGCGGCAAATTATATCGTGGACCGCGGTCCATAATGGATTATGACCGAGATTCTAAACGACGTCGTTTTGTTTAATGAAAAGAAACGGCACCCGTTTCGTGAAAAGTAACTCTGTTATTCAGTTTCATTTTGTATACACTTCAGTTTCACTTCAAAACAACTACAGTTACATTTCGATATAACTACAGTTTCTTTCGATATTTATACACTCAAATATGTGAAAATGTTATTTAATTTTATTTTATATACACTATAGTTTCATTAAAACACAACTACATTATTATTTTGATATAACTACAGTTTTATTGCACAATATACACTCAAATATAATCAATTTTGACTATATTATCTTACATTTGTAAATTTAGAATTATCTATTTAAATATGCAAATTCAGCATTCAATTATCTATGCATGAACAATTTCAATATAATCTTACCTTGATATATTTTAAAATACTTATTTAAAAAAAAAATAGATATTATCCCAATCACACAATGCACGTAAAAAACTAATACATAGAATGAGAAGGGGTGAAAATTAGCACGATTCTCATTGTCCTCATCGTAGATCCGCACATTATCCTACATTCCTACCACAATACTTATAACTCAAAAGACAAAATATAATGACGCACATGAACTAATTATTTATGGGCAATTGAAGATTATAAAAGCACCCTTTTCTTAAAACAATTAATTTAGATTTTTGCGTAGGTTTGCACTCATTACCAAATGCTTTCCAATCACCCACTAAATTTGATTCTTTTACTTGCAAAACGTACCAGAATTTCTCATCTCACATACGTGTCAAAAGGAAATTAAATAATTAATGGTGAAAATTATTATTATTTATTTAAAAAGTATATGTATATAGTGGGGTCCACGGAGAAAGATGCAGAAGGGGCCAACTCATATTAAAGTAAGAGACCTGCCAAGCCTACCAAATCCGCTCCCATGTGTTTAGCGTTAACTACTCTTCCCATATCTCTCTACCAACCCCCAACTTTATTTATTTGGTCAAATCATTTCTTCCCCCAAATTTTTAAATTAACTCTTGCCACGTATCTTTTACTAATCAAACATGCTGTCATCATGTCATGTGACAGCGTAAGTAATAAAATGAAAGTATGAATAATAAAGCACTTCTCCCACCCTTCTTCAATTGGAGAAAAATCATTAATTACTATTTGAAAATCTGCATAAATAAATCTTTGTCTTATAATTCTAATCGGTATCTCTCCTTTCTAAAATAGGAGTATGCAAAATAAAGCATTTCTCGATTTCTCTCTTTTTCATTTCAGTGACGAGGAAAATTCATAATTACTATTCGATGATGTGCATTGGGTAAATATTACCTCGTAATCCTAGTCCTTCTATCTCTCTTCTTCTTACCCAAACTTCCATTAAATTATAAATATACGTGATTTATATATAGAAATAATAAATGTACACTTCAAACTATTAGTTTAGTTAGAATAGAACACATCATTGATATTGGAGTTGAACCATTATTAGTTTAGCCTTTTAGATAAAACATAACATATTATTCAATTTAATATCAGAGTTAGACTTATGATGTGTAGTCAATTTATAATACTCTTTAATTCTATTTTAACTTTTGCATATATTTTAAATTTTTTTATAAGAAGGAATGATGTCAATATGTCATATAAGAAAATCAAAAAAAAATAATAATAATAAAAACAAAACAAAACCCTAAAATCTATCCAATAACATCATTAATGAAAAGTGGCCTAATTACATTAGGGGTGATGGAAGGCATGGAGACCAACTTGATAATTTAATAGTATGTAACTATTCAACTTGCAAAAAATATTCATCTATAATAAATTTTGTGCATATATATTATCATTTTTCGTATATAAAAATGGAAGTATTATAGGTTTTTTGTTAAATCGCGAGATGGCCTGAGTAAGCCCTAACTATATGAGAAATTTTTAAATCCGTACTATATTCAGACTAATTCTTATTCATATTGAGTTGATCCAAATAAAGAATAAAATGCTGACCATATTAATTTTTTCTATATGAGAGGGGATTTTGAAGACAGGAAGTATTACAAGTTTCTTGCAAATGACTTAGCCCATCCCTACTTAACCGTCACCCCCAAAAAAATACATGATACATGTATGCATATGTTTATACATACATACATATATGTTTATACATCATTAGATATGCATAAATATATCATAAAGTATTCAGAAATGCACCAGGATAAAAAAAAAACACGTAAATACATCATAAAAATATAAAATCCTGGAATGTGCGATCATGCACCATTAGGTATGCATAAATGCACCACTACGTGTTCATAAATGTACCATGCTGAAATGCACAAATACATCATATTTTAGTGCATTTAAACATGCTATGGTACATTCTTGCATATCTAATAGTGACATGACCGCACGCACAGGAACCAGAGCCTCTATATATACATACATACGTGTATATATATATATATAGGGTTGCATTCAAATACAAACCCCCTTAAAATACAAACTCCCCTTAAAATACAAACTTGAACTCGTGCACACATTAACATACTTACATGCACCCAGGGCGTACTGCCAACAATTTCTGGGATTAGCATGTGCACACAATAAAATACTTACATGCACACAATGCGTAGGAAGAAAAATCACAACCATCCATCAAAGCTCGTGCACACATTAATATACTTACATGCACACAACGCGTAGGAAGAAAAAATCAGGACCTTCCAATACCACCATCCAACGGCATCAAATTGTCCACATGTTTGTATTTTAAGATGTGTTTTTACCTGAATGTAAATCTATATATATATATATATATATATATATATATATATATATATATATATATATATACCCATTCAGTCCCATCAAGCTAAGGAGTGAATACACACACAAGGCTCCTTCCTACCCTGTCTCCGGCCCTTATATATACTACTCTCTCTGACTCTCTCTCTCTCCAAAAAGAAAGGGAATAAATTGAAAAGGAGAAGATCAGAGAAATGGGACGTTCGCCTTGTTGTGAGAAAGCTCATACCAACAAAGGCGCCTGGACAAAGGAAGAAGACCAACTCCTCATCAACTATATCCGTCTTCATGGCGAAGGCTGCTGGCGCTCCCTTCCTAAACCCGCTGGTACTATACTATACTATACGCTATTATTTGCTTTTATATAATCATCATCATATCCCTACCTTAACAGAAATTAATAATGTTCTTTTTTGGGTGTTTTTTTAGGATTGCTAAGATGTGGGAAGAGTTGCAGATTGCGGTGGATAAACTACCTCAGGCCTGACCTCAAGAGAGGCAACTTTACTCAACAAGAAGATGAGTTGATCATCAAGCTCCATAGCCTCCTGGGAAACAAGTATTTCCTATCTCATTTCATGTCTTATTTACTATTCTTGGTCAAATAAACTCTTTCTTCTTTGTTTATTTTCTTTAACATGTATCACTGAGATTTAAATTTGTGACCTCCCATTTAGGCTACAAGTTATTTGGCTGAGGGAAGGGTATATATTTGCTTTTTTTTTTTGGAGTAATTTCTAGCTTGTTTGGATGTGTATGGTTGTTGGAATAAATGTGTAAATTAAAACAGTGGGTGGGTACTGGGAACACAGATATACAGGATTGAATAAAGTAAAAATTCTTAAAGTTTTGCCTGCCATATGGGAAGTGGGACCACTTAAAAGATCTAGAAACAAAAATGTTCCAGAAACAATGAGGTATTAATCAAGGATTATTGGTTTATCTATACTACTAGCTAGCAGTTGAAATTTTTGACTTTTAATGGAAGAAATTAAATGTTTCTCATTTTCTTGGTCTACAAACCTGCGGCCAGACAAAATTCTTGAATTTCTTCTATCATAATGTTTTTTTTAGCAGCCAAAATAGAATCAAATCAAAGGGTAGCTAATATAGATAAAAGACTGTTTCTTCTATAATACTGTCTCATGAATCTTTGTCTTATAGTATTACATCTTCATCTTGACTTATCTGTCTTACAAATAAGAATTCGTGAGGCAGTCTTAACTAATTTTTGCATAATAAAAAAGTAAATTCTCTCTCATTACAGCAGAATTTTGAAAGAAAGGAAAAAAAATCCTAAAAAATTGTTGTGTTTGTAGATGGTCTCTGATAGCGGCAAGATTGCCTGGAAGAACTGACAATGAAATCAAGAACTATTGGAACACACAAATTAAGCGCAAGCTCATTAGCTGCGGCATTGACCCACAAACCCACCGGCCACTGGACGCTTCCGCCGCCGCCGCCAGCTGCGGCGGCGCCACCAAGCCTGAAAATATTTCTCTGGACCTGAGTAGCTCAACACCATCACAAGAGGAGACTAAATGCAGTAGTGGCACGACAAGCGAGGAGTCTCATCATCAACCACTGAAAGATAAGCAAAGAAATGATGAGCAGATGGCTGGTCTTGATTTGTCTATAGGACTAGCATTGCATCCCAAGACAGAAGATTCTGCCGATTCAACAGCTTCCGGCGGGTTGCTGCTGGTTGCGCCGCCGCCGCCAGCCGCCGTGGAGCTTAGTGTGACAGAAGCAGTGTGTTTGTGTTGGCAGTTGGGATCCCGGAGTGGTGGGTTGTGCAATAAATGCCATGCCACAAAATGCTTCCTTGGATAGATAGCCAACCCTTTTAGTTGCAAAAGAGTTTTTAGGCATGGATTCTGCTCACAAAATGCAAAATTTTCTCGGTCCTAAAGTGACCTTCATTATTCTTCTTTGAAATACTATCTACTGAATCAGAAACCTTCATCATTCTTGTTCACAAGTTTGGTAGAGGGAGTTGACTGATAGTAAAGTTAAACTATTAATTTATTTTGAATTGATCAACCAGTAGAACTGTGTCTTTAGAGTAAATTTTTAGACATATATAGATAAATTTTTAGACATATATAGATAAATGTTAATGTATGTTGGCTCTTTTCCATTTTCCAAATGTAATCATCACTATAATGTTAAAGAGTAAAATCTTTGTACCCAATATACAGTGGCAGACCCAGAAAAATAGTTGAGTGGGCAATAAAAATTGTCTATAACAAAATGTCAAGCATCAAGATCTTCTAAATCAGGGACATATCCATAAATTTTTTTCGGTGGGGTGGCGAAACATTAAAACAAACGAGATGGCTTAAAAAAAATGAAACACTTAAGAAGTTAACCATAAATATATTGTTAGATATGAGCGAAAAATAAAACACATCAAAACTTTAATATTATTAGATATGAGCGAAATATAAAACACATCAAAACTTTATAAAATATTTATAACAAAATAGGAAACATAATTAATTTGATAAAATAATTCTAATAGAAAACATATTATAAATTACACATCTCATTATTATATAAAAGTATATATTACCATTATTTTGTTTTTTGAAAGCCTCACCAAGTGAACCAAAAACTGCATTCACGCCAATATGCCATAACACAAATTCAAACCCTTTGACATTCTAAGAGCAAATACACGCGCTCAGCCATCAAAGCTAACCTATTGGTTGTTTACATTTGCTGTTTTCTTTTACTTATACTAAACCTTGAACTATATATATATATATATATATATATATATATATATATATATATATATATATATATATATATATATATATATATATATATATATATATATAAAGGTTATGTATGGGGTGGGGGCAGCTGTCCCCACTGCCCCCACTGTAAGTCCGCCACTGTAAGTACCTGAGTATGAGTTTCCCTCGTATGAGAGTTATGTATTTATAAGTTAAGTATGGTTATCGTATAAGTATGTATATATGTATATACTTGTGAACTTAATTGACTTCCATCCATGAACTCGTTTGGTTTATCGTAATATAAGTGTCAAATCATCTATTTTCCAAAAACTATATATCTATATGTATCTTTACATGATGGAGTGGCTTATACTTAGCATTCATGTTAACGGGTTATTTTCGTACTCTTTTTACTTAACCCTTTTCAGGTTATGACCGATGATTGCTAAGCGCGCTTAGGTAGAGCTAGTTTTGTGTAGTTTTTGATCTAGTTCCTCTGTCCTTTGATGCTTGACTTATGTAGCTTAGATCACCTCACTTATGTTCTGTAGTGCTTGACACTTTGGCATGTGAGCCCTTTTGTGTGGTTATGAGCTTAAACTCCTGATATTTGGACATGAGGGCCCTTTTTATTATGAATTATGATGATGTTATTTTAGTTAGCTTTTCCATGTAGCTGCTATATCGAGGGTGGCTACATAGTAGCATCCCCACTGGATCTATGGTTGGGTTATTTGTATACAGGTTACCCTTTCTTTATTCCGCAGTCTTCACCCTTTAAGGGCGTTTAATACTAGGCTCAGATGTTGGAAAATTGGGGGTGTTACACCGAAGCTCTCCGATTCCGCCAAACAAAGTGGAGCCGAAGCTCTCCAATTCCGCCAATCTCAATAATACAATATATTGAAAGAAGTGTATATATTCAATTCCGCCGATCTTAATAGTATAATATATTCAAGGAGGTGTATATATATAACCACATGTAATGCACAAGCCAAATGGATATCAAGGGACTAGGATTCAAGATAGAATAGTGGTCCATAATTGAGACAAAGGAATGCACAATGTACGGGAATAACTCAACAATGCACCAAAGGCTGACTAACAATGCACCAAATGATGACCAACAATGCACCAAAAGTTGACCAACAATGCACCAAAGAAAATAATATACTGGATAGTACGCACAGTAGTTCACGGGTAGGAGTAGCGGGTACATGGTGCCCGTCTCCCTCCCGTGGTACATGCACGGGGGTCTGTGGAGGGCACTAGCAACCCGCCAACACCTCCCATCCCCTTCCTTGTGGGATGGGCTCGCGGGCACCAACCACCCGTGAGTCCCACCCGCAAGTCCAAAATCGAAAGCAGAAACAGAATAGACGAAGCAGAAGGTTTTCTCCAACAATTCAACAGTAGACTTCTCAACATTTCAACAATGAACAATGACCAAACCATAGCCAAAAACCATCAAGAGTACTCAAGAACAAGGCTAGAATACTATCAACATCAATAAGGAATTCAATAGCAAGGTATATGGCACAATAACAACACAAGAATACTACCAAGACAAGGCATTGCTCAAGAATATCAACAAGAACATACTCAAGAGATTCAAGAACATCAATAACATTTATATAAGTTGAAAATAAATTTTGATGGACATGAAGTTTACCTTTTGAAGCTAGCTAACCCAAACCTCAAACACCAAGCATCAACCTAGCAGCTCATCTCGACCTTGATCATCTAGAAACCCAAAACCCACCATGGAAATGAAGAGCAAATTCATAAAGATAGCAAACGAAAGGAAGAAGATGCAAGAAAGGGTGAAGTCTTACCATGATCTTTCTCTAAGAACACTAAAAAGAGGAATCTTGCTTTGATTCTTGAAGATGAAATGAATACCAATCTTTGAATGAGGAAGAAGATGAAGATGGCGTGAAAGATAAGTAGGGAAGAGAGAGAGAGATTTGTTTTGTCTAGACAAGATAAGTCTTGAATAAATAGGATAGGATAGATATACATATTGTATGTATTAGGATGAATGATTTAATAAGAAGTGAGCTGGGTTCAATACATAACAATTATACAAAGTCAAGAATGAGTGTTGAGCCAAATAATTCTAATAATAAATAATTAAGTAGGATAAGGAGAAAGCCCATAATACTAAGAATTAAATGTCTTACAAATAATATATATGAACTAATATAAAGAATTGGGCCCAACAAGAGAATAAATTCCCTCATAGAAAATAATTACAGCGGGAAGTCCCGGTATAAAATATACGGGGTGTCACAAATATAGTCCAAGTGTATATAGAAAAGTCATCAACAACAACAAGAGTATATTTCTTACCACTTACACTTACTAGATCAATTGGCCCAAATAGATCCATGTGAAGTAGGCTTTGCGATCTTGATGTTGACTCATGTGTCTTTGGCTTGAACGATGACTTAACTTGTGACACCCCAAAAATCCAAATTCAATTCACGGATTAATTGAGTAATTAATCCTATTTCAATTGAGGAATTAATTTCTAAATTCTGAAATTTAATAGTTGGGGACTAGTATTTGACTAGTCAACTCCAAAGTCAAGTTGTACCTTGAGCTTTGAAGGGAGTTCCCTTGTTCCTTACACTTTCTAAAGTTAGTAAGGGTATTCTTGACCTTTCACCAAGTGTTAGTATTGTAACCTAACCTAGAAGACATCTTCATTCTATCCCTTACAATTTCTAAAATTTAGCTCTACCTTCTCTCTAGAAAGGTGAGTAGTTTTTCCTCCAAGCTAAGTTGAGACCTTGTCAAAACTTCAAGATTTGCTTCCAAGATTCAACCTTTCACCTATCTGGGCATCTAGGAGGGTAAGATCTAAGCCTATCTTGTGCTTTTGGTTCCATCTTAGGTGTCTTTTTCTTAAAAGTAGGATCTTTATGATCTTTTGGTTTGTTCTTGAAGTGGGTTTGGAAAGTGAGCCTTGTGGAGAGCTTGTTGAGGTGTAAAGTGAAGTCTTTAGTCTACAAGAGCTTGTACCTTCCGTTTGGTTGATGATAACTTGTGTTATTCATCGTTGTTGTTGGGCTGTGACCCATTCCTTGATTGAGTATGGTTTCATATCTTCGTTGTGATCCGTTGATTGATTCATGTTGTGGTGTGATGCGTGTGTGGCTTTACCTGGATTGCACGATTAGTGGTATGGGACACTAGTCACCAAGGTATTGCAGCGGTCCTCGTGGTGGCCGTGACGTGATTATGGAGTTGTGGCCTTTGTGTAAGGTTCACGTGTTTATGGGGGATAACATGTGTTATCCAAGGCATGTGTTGCCATGTGTGAACGGTACCTCGTGTACTATGAAATCGGTGGTTTTGTTGGAGGGACAGTTGGAGGGGGAACGACGGTTCCCGGGGGAATAAGGTTGGACTTGGTGTACAGGGGTCCTGGAGGTAAAGGTTGGAACTAGATATAAGGTTGGGGGTAGCCATAAGGTTGGAACAGGGCATAAGGAAGGCATATCAACTCGTGATGAGTGATGTCATGAGGGCTTGTGTAGCCGTGGTTGTGTGTTTTCTTCTTGTGACGTGTGTAGTCACAAAGGCATGTGTTGCCTAGACATGTGTTGCCAATGGTCTTGTCGTTACCTTTTGTGTTGTGGTTAACCTTTGTGGTTTGGGATGTGTTCCCGTATCCTTGTTGAGAGTGTTGAGTCTTGTGTTGACTATTGATCTTGGTTTTTGACTTATATATAAGTATTCCGTTTCGAAAATGGTTTTGCAACTTATATCTTACCTATGTATGTTATTTAACATGTATTGGTGGGTTACCAGCATTATTCGCTGACCGGGCGTCGTCCCATGTTTATCTTTGTGTTCTTTCAGGTGATGTCTAGACGAGCGCGATGTCTAGTGCCCGATAGTTTAGTACCTCTCCTTTGCTTTTGGCCTGTGAGCCGATGTAGTGATAGATATATGGCTTTGGGATAGTTGTGTACACAGTGCAGATTTGACCGCCGTAGAGTTTATCATTGTTGGTAAACGTGGCATAACACCCCTGTTTGGATTTGCTTTTATCCAGTTACCTTTTTATCTTCCGATGTGCTAGTGTTTTGTTGTGTTATCTGCATGTGTTAAGGCTTTTTATTTAGCTTGTTTTTAGGGGGGGGGGGGGGGGGGGGGGGGGGGGGGGGGGGGGGTTTACAGTTGGTATCAGAGCGTAGGTTTGAGCCTAGGAAGAGTTAAGTCTAGACTTTCTAAGTGGTTAAGTGTGGTTTGAGACCTCTAAGCGACCTTAAGAAGCTAAGTCTTAGGCTTAGGACTCTAGGTTGCGCGGTGAGCTGTGTGTTGCTTTCTGTTCTTGCTTGTTTGCTCTCTTTTGGTAACCTTGTTGTTGTTATAGAAGTTGCGATGCCTCCTCATCCCTGAGCACGCACCCTGGAGACCCCGACCAACGAGCAGCTC